AAAAGCAAGACACACGGTTCTTTAAAATTAAAAAAAAAAAATTAACTGTAAGTAGAGAAGATCAGTCAGATAAAATTTGTTCAAGAAATACAAGCTTTTTTCTGTGGTACATACTATTTTCTGTCAAATATTACAAACGGACCGACAAGACAGCCCAGAAGGTAAAGGCACCTGTAGCCAAGCCTGACAACTCGAATTCATTTATTCATCTCTCACACAATCATACATCCCAACCACAGCTCCCCTCTCCATTCCTCCCAGCCCCCCACCCCCACCTACCTTCTTCCCCAGGCCTACAGGAATATCTACAGAATACAGCACAACAGGACACAATAAAACCAGACACAAACCCTCACATCAAGGCTGGGCCAAACAACCCAGTAGGAGAAAAAGGGTCCCAAGTGCAGGCAAAAGAATCAAAACCACCCTCATTTCCACTCTCAGGACCATTCAGTAAGACATTTTAAAAACAGTAATTATAAGTAGACGCGTGATCACAGATTGTGATATGCTACCGTGGGAGAAACCATTTAGCTGCAGGGTACAGCACCTAATCCAGAAATAAACTACACTTCCCGGTCTTCCCTGCAATGAGGGAGGTCATGTGACTAAGTTCAAGTCAAGGAGGTTTAACTGGAAAGGTACATAAAGCCCAGGAAACATCCTTAAAAAGAAAGAAAGAAAGAAAGAAAGAAAGAAAGAAAGAAAGAAAGAAAGAAAGAAAGAAAGAAAGAAAGAAAGAAAAAGGAAGGAAGGAAGGAAGGAAGGAAGGAAGAAAAGAAAAGAAAAGAAAAGAAAAGAAAAGAAAAGAAAAGAAAAGAAAAGAAAAGAAAAGAAAAGGGGGGGGGCCTTCTCTGTTGATTCCTCTTCTCACCAGATGGAGCTGCTATTTTGGACTCTGATGTGAAGCTTCATGCTGAGAACCGCAGAGCAACAGCACAGGAAGTGCCTGGGTCGCTGACACTGGGGAACTCTTTCCAGCCTGTCCACCTCAGAGCTTCTGGGTGCAGGGAGGTAGAAGTGTGCCTGGCTAAGCCATCTTTATGTGGGGGTTTCAGCCATTCACAAACTTGAGGGTAAATGGCATTAGCCATAGAGAACAAACAGAGGCTTCAGTGAGATCAGGAGTGGAGACGGCTTCAGGCTACTGGGGGGGGGGGGGGGGGGGGGGGGGGGGGGGGGGGGGGGAGGAAGCAACAACTTCCAACAATAAGGTGAATCCAGAGAGGAAGGCTGGCAAACTGAGGCAGAGAAAACCAACTTTGGGCTAAACCCTCCCAGGACAAGACACATACTTTGGAGCGCGCAGACTGCCTGTTAGGCAGAGGTGTAGCGCAGCTATAAGAATGAGCTTGCTTAACACGCGCAAAGCCCTGGGTTCCCTCCCCAGAACTGTCAAGAGGAAAAAAGAAGAAGAAAAAGATCGCTTCTACAGGAAATTAAAATTAAAACAGAACACCAAAACAACTGAGCATTTTGGCTCTGGAATCAGAATCTCTCTATTCCGCCACGGACCACATATTGCCTGTCAGATATAAATGGAGGGGAAGTGCAGAATGAGAAGGCTCCTGTTCAGGAAATGAATAACTGCTTCCACACTTTAGCCCCACTATGCTTCGAAATAGTTGAATTCTCTGATTAGAGTGAACCATCTATTATGAAGAGAATGTCATAAGGTTTTCAAATGCTAACTATTCCAGGTAAACCAAAGATTGGTGTAAAAAAATTTTTTAAAATAATGTTTCTTATTTATTTCCCTATCTTAAAAAATGAAACAATGGTCAGGCAGTGGTGGCTCACAACTTCAATCCCAGCATTGGGAGGCAGAGACAGGCGGACCTCAGTGAGTTCAAGGTCAGCCTGGTCTACAAACCAGGACAGCCAGGACTATTAGAGAGAAACCCTGTCTCAAACAAACAAACAAACAAACAAAAAATATGCACTATGGAGATTTTGAAAAATACCTTCCAACATTTTTATTGATACTGTTTTCATACACATTTGCATTCCAACACACATGTGATATACATAAAGTCATAAATGCCTCTGAGCAGAAGCTATTCTATGTCACTAAATCACGATTTTAATTGGCTACACAGCATACAGCTTATTTAGCCAACTAAGTCTAGGAATGTTTTGAGTTAAAACTGACAGAGAAAAAATGAATCCCTGTAGGTGAAGCTGCCTTCTAAATTCACCTTAGAATTTCTATTTAGGAATCTCAAACTACAGTTTGAAAGCACCAGAAACTTCCGAACAAGCATTCAAAGAAATTCATTGAGTTTTAGCCATAGAGGATATTCACTAAAAACTGTTATTTTCCCAAAGCACTATCAAAGACTAAAGTTAGATTAATAAGAAATAGTAAGTCTACTATAAGAATTGATGACTATCTGCAATGTTGTATTTCTTTAATAAAGAAAAAGTAAGAAAATATTTATATTTTATTTGTATAATTAACTTTATAAATATATAAAAATGTATAGAGATCTGGGCTGTGGTGGCGTATGCCTTTAATCTCAACAGTGGGAGGTAGAGGCAGATGGATCTCTGTGAGTTCAAGGCTAGCCTGGTCTACAGAGTTCCAGGGTTACACAGAGAATCCCTGTCTCAAAAAACAAACTAACTAAGAAAAAAAAGGGTTAAATCTTTAACTGTTATTATGACATTATTTTTCAGACTTCTCTGTATTTAACTTTTTCTCACAACAAAAACATAATGTTAAGTTAAACTATTACTCATGAATAAGATAATTCAGATTTTAGTTACTAAGAGGAAAGGAAAAGTTTTGCCAAAGTCTAAGTAGTCTTTTTTTTTTTAAAGATTTTTATTTATTTTATGTATATGCATGCTCTATCAACTTTAGGCCAGAAGAGGGCCTCATATCCCACTATAGATGGTTGTGAGCCACCACGTGGTTATAGGAACTGAACTCAGAAAAGCAGCCAATGCTCTGAACTGCTGAGCCCTCTCTCCAGCCCCATCTAAGTGGTCTTTTGACAAGGGAAAACAAACAGGTGGCATTAGAAATTTGTTATAAAGTAAAATTTCAGATTATAGTCTAATGAACAACAGCAAGGTTTCCTGTTGCACTGTGAGGAAGAGCCAGTGTTCACATTCAACAGCTGCCCCTTCTTTAGACGCTGTCCTATCCTAGTCTATCAAGAAGGCTATTTTACAGCTAGGCAAATATAAAAACTGCAAGACTGCATCTCAGTCGAAGGTCTTTCTGAAGCTAGATGAGGTCAGTTAGGAATAAGAAGTTACAGAATAAACCAAACTGAGGTGGTTTGAATAAGAATGGCCTCTATAGGCTCATATATTTGGATGCTTAGTCGCCAGGGAATGGAACTCTTTGAAAGAATTAGAAGGATATGGAGATATAGCCTTGTTAGAGAAAGTGTATGTGGGGGGGGGGGGTGAGGTTTCTGAAGCCCATGCCAGGCCCGGTCTCTCTCCCGACCCTCTTCCTTCCCTACTCCATACTCTGCCTGTGAACCAGTGTTGCTCTTACTTGTGGCTCCAGGACCATGCTAACCCTTTGAAATGGCAAACAAGCCCCAATTCGATGTTCCCTTTCTAAGAGCTGCCTTGGTCATGGTGTCTTTCACAGCTACAGGACAGTGACTAAAACACAAACCTTCACATTAGTTGTCACAAACAAAATTTTCAAATAAATGTAAATTTTTCTTTGATTGCACATTTCTCTGAAATGCAGCCTTGAATTCTTTTAACTTCGTAAAATCATTTCCCACCCCCACCCCACTAATCATTTTCAACTTCTTTCCCTGCTAGAATTCGTTGGAACTTTCAGCAAAAGTGACTTACTTATTGGCATTTTGTCAAAGGAACCCTGCAACTATAAGAAGGCTCAGAACTAACAGGGCTCTAATGCCAGACACTGTCACAACATACTTTAGAGAACCAAGTCACATGCTAGCAAGGCCTGTTTACATTTTCTCTTACAGATTTGTCTCTGCCTCTGTAGCCTATCACCTCCCAGTTTGACTCTGCTTTTCCTAATCTAAAACACCTCCTGTCTGTGGAGAGACAAGACTGGGAAGCATTAAGGAGAGAGGAATCAAAAACAGCGGTTCATCTTTGGCTTAGAAGATTAACTATCTGTGGTTCTCAAGGTTTTATTTCTCCCTTCAATGAAATGAAAAACATGATCAGAAATCTGCAGGAGAAATTATTTGTTGCTATTATTTAGACAACAACATAAAACTCAGTTATTTAAAACTGTTTCGACAACTCTTCAGTAAGACTTCACTAGCACTAAACTGCCAACTGTTTCAGAGTTCTTTGCTCTTAACTCCAAGACAGAAACTGCTCTTTTAACCAGAGAGAGGAGTGAGCAAAGAAGAAAAGGGATGCTTCATTAGATTACCAGACACGGACTGGGGACACCACCGACACTCCACCTGGTGGCAGAAATTGCCCCAGTTGGGAAAGTGGAAGCAAAGTGACCGACCAAAGCAAGCTCCTTGTACAAAACATAAGATGCTCTTCTCTTGCCCTACATAGAGTAACTCTAACAAATTCCATCAAAGAGTTTTTCAAATAGTAGGTCAGCATCCTATAAACATTAGCACAGAAGTCTACAATACTTATAACAGGAGACCTACATAGTGAGCTACCTAGTAGGTGAAACCTTTAAACAGTGAAGAAGCCGACACAGCCACTACAGGACTCCACATCGCACATTCCCACTTTCTTTGCCCCTTCCCCTGTGGGTAAACTACAGTTTAATTCACACAGTTAACGGCAGCCTGCCACATTGCCTTTAAGTATCTGCCAGTAGCATATACTTACGGGATACTCTAGAGACTGATTTCAACCAAAAATAAAAATAGATAAATAGCTCAAACAAAATTAAACTGAGTCTGGCTGCCCACACTTATTTTCACACATGAAGAATAACAGCGGTTCTCTTAGAAGCTTCAAGCACACATATCTTTAGAACACAATGTTAAAAATATGTCCCCGCCTTTCCCTACCTGTTTCTCACTCAAAGCTGTGATTTTGGCTTGGAGTTCATGAAGCTGTTTCTTTAAGTCAGCATTCTGATTGGAAAGAAAAAATATCTGTGAGAAAGATATTCATTTGTTAACATGATAGTATCAGGAAGACTGTGCACATACTGCATTAACAGTGATGAAGCAACCTTTAGCATCAGTTTCCCATGCATTAAATCATAACATAGACCCCTCAAACAGAAGGGTGGCTTCCTCACAACCGCTGTAAATTACAGGAAGTTTATATATCCTCATCTTGCACTCTAACAGCTCCCTATGTCCTAAAATATTGTTATTCTTCATAGAACGTATCAGTTGACAGAAAATCTAAAGCTCCACTAATCAGACAAAAACAGGGAAATGGAGGTTAAAGAATGCTACCCCGCTGCTTAGCGGCATTATCAACAAAGATAAGAGGCTTTTCTCTACTTGTCCTCGCTCTTATTTAGTAAAATACATTTGTTATTTTAGCCTAGATTTGGAAAGCTGTCAGCAATGTAACTGCTTTAACAGCATATCATTCAAATCAACATGCTGAAATTCTAGGAATCGAAAAGAGAGTACTATTTTAGACGAAATACACTAAGTGAGTCTGCCTTTTGCGGGGGTGGAGGTAGGGGGTGGGATATTAAAGTTTTCAAATGTTTAACAGAGCAGGAAAGTGAATGTCACCCCAGTGAGAGACTTACTTGTTTCATACATAGCTCCTCGTTTCCCTGTCTGCTCAGCTTCTTACTGTACTAGGCTTACCTCATTTGGGATTTTTCAGTTGTATTTGATATAAGGTTTTTCTGAAGGTACCCAAATTGTTGCCCAATAAGTTACTGACCCTCAGATTTTCTAGGTGATGATCATGAGTATCAGAACTGCCGCTCTGTTACTGACAATGTAGATCACCACATTAAATAGAAAGGACTTGGCAATGTATTGCCATCTGGTTCCCTAAAATTCAATTTAAATTGTGGACACACTAAATAAAAATTAAAAAAGGGATGTTTCTCATGGAAGGTAGATGTCAGATAGGAATAAATGTGGCCACAACAGCTACTTCTCAGAGTCAATGTATTGGATTAAAATACAACAGTCAAGACCATTGAGTCCTTGAGATGAATATTGCACACAACTTCAAAAAAAAAAACAATTAATCTGCCTTAGTACCACTCTTCAAGAATTTTTTTGTTTTGTTTTTCTAGACAGGGTTTCTCTGTAGCTTTGGTGCCTGTCCCGGAACTAGCTCTTGTAGACCAGGCTGGCCTCGAACTCCCAGAGATCTGCCTGCCTCTGCCTCCCTAGTGCTGGGATTAAAGGTGTGCGCCACCAACGCCCGGCTTCAAGAATTTTTTTTTACTTTATAGACAGGAATATATGATCCACTGTCTAATAGGTGCCAAGAAGTCACTACCTGAATAATAATAAGAATCAAGGTAACTTTGGAGAAAGAAATCTCCTGCTGGGCTGTGGCGGTGCACACCTTTAATCCCAGCACTGGGGATACTGGGGAGGTAGAGGCAGGCAGCTCTTTGCGAGTTCGAGGCCAGCCTGGTCTACAAGAGCTAGTTCCAGGACAGGCTCCAAAGCTACAGAGAAACCCTGTCTCAGAAGAAAAAAAAAAAAAAGAAAGAAAAGAGAGAGAAAGAGAGAGAGAGAGAATCCTCTATAGAAGAAAATAAAATGAAACTACTATAAATATTAAATTTATAATTTTATAAATTATTATATTATATAAGATACTTCTGAAATCCTCTTTTAAAGATAAACATTTTGAAGCCAGGTATGCTGGCATAGACCTATAGCCTCAGAACTTGAAAGTTAGAGGTAAGAGGGTTAGGAAGCCAATGTCATCTTTAGCTATATATGACATTTAGGGCTATTCTGGAACATGAGATCGTGTCCCAAAAGAAAAAAACAAAACAAAATGCAAATTTCAAGTATTTTTATAAATTATTCTAAAATTTTTCTAAATGTGGTTAAATTCAGTATTTAGGTGTCCTATATATATAAACGCTACACAATTAAAAAAGGTTTGGGAGCATTTCAATGAGATTTGAGTTTAAGAGTCTGATTAATTGTGAATGTGTGAATTTAATCTAAACCAGGTCCATGACCTCACCATTGGAGAGGTCAAGGGAGGTCAAGGGAGGAGGATGGAGTCTGAATGTTGTCTAGAGTCCCAAAAGCTGTGTGCTTGTTTGTACTCACTCTACAGACCAGGCTGGCCACCACCACCATCCCACCCCAACTTCAAAAGAAGTTTTTTAAAGCAAGAAATTGTAGTCATATGAAGCTTCTTTAAAAAAAAAAAAAAAAAAAAAACCAAACACTTGCTGGACGATGGTGGCACATGCCTTTAATCCCAGCACTCGGGAGGCAGAGGCAGGTGGATCTCTGTGAGTTCGAGGCCAGCCTGGTCTACAGAGCTAGTTCCAGGATAGGCTCCAAAACCACAGAGAAACCCTGTCTCGAAAAACCAAAAAAAAAAAAAAAAATTAACTAACAACTGCATTTTACTACTTTATTGTCATTTTTGATTGTTTTTAATGTTTAAAAATCAAGTTACTAACAAAAGGATTTTTTTACCTGTGGATCCTGCTTCATTTGAGCAACCAGTTTCTGGTAATAAAGAGAGAAAAAAAAACTGTCAGTCTCACACATTAACTCCTATGGCTACTTAGGTTTGGACACACACACACAAATAAAATTAATTCAGTAGCACCATCAAAGTAGACCAAAAGTTTTGATGATGTCTGTAAAAGACTAATGAAGTATTCTTTGTAACATAATAATCAACTATACTTTTATATTCAAATGAAAAAGTACCTATTTGTCAGTACAGAGGTCAGTGACTTCTGCAATTTAAATAAGCAGGTGCACGCCTTTGATCCCAGCAAACAGGAGGCAGAGGGAAGTGGATCTCTGTGTATTTGAGGCCAGCCTGGTCTACGTAGTGAGTTCCAGACAGCCAGAGCTATCCAGTGAGACCCTGTCTTAAACAAACAAACAAACAAATAACACAAAACAAAACAAAACAAAAAAATAAGCAGCGTGCTCCAAAGGCCAAATACCCCTGTCAGATATTATCACCAGCTGGATTCCTACCTAGTCAAGGTCTACAAAGACACCAACCCAGACAAAAGAGAAGCTGTTTGTAGACAGCAACTACAGGTCTGGCAGGTCTTTTGGTCTGGATCCTACATAGAAGGAGCCTCCTGACTTTGTTCTGTCAGCTCTCAACCACCTGGAACTGCAGTCCCAGAGACTCCAAGTCCCTCTTCTGGCTTCTGTAGGCATCAGGCATACATATGGTGCAAATATACATGCAGACAAAACACTCGAACACATCAAATAATAAATAAATGTCATCTGACCTAGTCAAACTGGCAAAAAAAAAAAAAAACCCCAAGAGTAACAATAACAGTGGACAGAGGAATTTAAATGATAAAGAAATACAAAAAGGCTGCCCCCTAAAACCCAAGGCTAGATACCTACAATTAGCTATTTTCCAGTGAATTTTTTATATAATAATAGAAAGAGTTATCACACTCTTTGAATAATAAGACGCTTTTAAAATGTTATTAGAAAAAATATAAAATTCACAACACACTCATCTAGAAACCAAGCTTTTATAGTTTGAGGTGTAATAATATGGATTAATATATAATACTATATAATAATATGACTTGCAAAAAGCCCCAAACTGCAATGTTATGAGCCCTTATATCTTTTAGATTTTTTTATTCTTTCCTTCCTTCCTTCCTTCCTTCCTTCCTTCCTTCCTTCCTTCCTTCCTTCCTTCCTTCTTTCTTTTCCTCCTCCCCCGAGACAAAATGCTTTTGTGCAGTCCTACTGTCCTAGGCTCCGTAGATCAGGCTGGCCTTGAACTCACAGTGATCTGCCTGCCTCTGCCTCAGGAGTGCTGGTTAAAGGCGTGTGCTGCCACTACCTGGCTTAGTACTTTCTATTAAATATTTTTACTTATTTAATATTTAATTGAATATTTTATTTAACATTTATTTTTCTTAAATATTTTATTTTAGATATTTTAAAATTAAATATTTTATTCATTTATATATTAAATTAAATATATTATTTAAAATATTTTGAGAGGGCATGTGCACATGTGCCATGATGCACATGTGGAAGTCAAAGGATCACTTTCAAATGTTAGTTCTCTCTTTCTACCATGTGAGTCCCGGGAATTAAAATCTTTGGGCTTGGTAATAGGGCCCTCTATCCATTTAGGCATCTTGTCGATCCCTTTAATTCTTAATTGTCCAGCAGTCAGCTACCAAGTCCTGCTATTATTGTGCCTCTTTCTAAAGCAATGAGTACCAACTCAGCTTTGCTGCTTCAACTGCTATGTAAAAAACACAGTGGACAAACTTTAAGACCAGGCTGCAAAAGCCTAAGAAACACCCGGGGAATGACCTGTGTTCTAACTGGACAGAAGCCTTTCTTCCTGGTAGTAAACTACATCATGGATAGCTGAGGCCATCAAATACACAAAGCATACACGATGAAATTCCGTGTCACATTTGACAAAACTAGCTCTTCAGCAGCCTCATCTAAATCTGTAAAGTAATGCAGCATCTACAAGCTCCACAGAATGGACGTATAAATCCTTACACATCTAACTACACTTCAGTTTTATAAGCTGATTTTGGGCTGGGGAGATGGCTGAGTGAACAAAGGCCATTTCCACCCAAAACTCACAACTTTAGCTCTGCCCCGAGAAACAACCTGGTAGAAGCAGAGAACCTTCTGATGTCTACATGTGTCCTGTGACATGCAAGCTCTCACACATAGAAGATAAGTGTAATAACACTTCAAAAAAAAATAAATAAAGCTGGGCAACAGTAGCGCACGCCTTTAATCCCAGCACTCGGGAGGCAGAGGCAGGCGGATCTCTGTGAGTTCGAAGCCAGCCTGGTCTACAGAGTGAGTTCCAGGATAGCCAAGACTACAACAAAGAAACCCTGTCTCGAAAAAAATAAAATAAAAAATAAAGTCCGAGTGTTTTTTTTTTTTTTTGATTTTGTTACTGCAGAACTGACTATTATCTGTAAATTTATTTTGGGACTGAAAGAGCTTTTCTTCCATAACACTGGAGTTTTTAATTGATATCTATTTATTTAATAGATAATGCAAGTTGTCTACTTGCATGTAAGTATGTGTATGATATTCTGCTTCATGTTTGCACCACATTCACTCCTATTATCCTCAGGTGTCAGAGGTGGGTGTCAGATCCCCTAGAATTAGAGTTACAGATGGCTATGAACGTGGGTTCTAGGGATCAAACCTGGTTTCTGCAAAAGCAACAAGTGTTTTAACCTCTAAGCAATCAATATACCCCCATGGCACTAGAATTTAAAAACTGACTAGTAAAATCCACTTCTGCAGGAAATAAATCAATCAATCAGCTTTTCTGTGTATAAGCAGTTAAACCACATTCATACAAACAAGATAAAATGAGGAACTTACTAGACCACCCAAATCCCAGGTGATTTTATACTGGAATTGCATTACCAAATTTTCCACTGAATGACTGATGTCATTTTCCATGATAAGAAAACAACAGCCGGGCTAGAAAGATGGCTCAGTGGTTAAGAGCCCTGGCTGCTCTTCTAGAGGTCCTGAGTTCAATTCCCAGCAACCACATGGTGGCTCACAACCATCTGTAATAAGATCTGGCGCCCTCCTCTGGCATGCGGGCATACATGGAGGCAGAATGTTGTCTACATAAGAAATAAATAAATAAATCTTTAAAAAAGTTTAGGAAAAAAAAAAAAAAGAAAGAAAAAAGAAAAGCTGGCCAAGCTGACAAATCCAGACTACCACCTGTTCCTTAAATAAAGTTTTCTGAAACCGAGCCCCAGCTCCAGAACTGAGACAGAGAGACAGGAGGATCTGGAACTTCACTGTCAGTCAGTCTAGCCAATCAGTAAGCTTCAGGTTCTGTGAGAGACCCTGTCTCAAAAGAAAAGTTGAACAGCGATAGAGAAAGATATCCAATGTCCAATTTTTCCCTGTGTGAATGCACAGACACATACCCACACAAAACAAGCTCTGAATTCACAGAAAGGTGAAAAAAAAAAAAACAATTCCATAAAATTATCTTCTGTCTTCCACACAAACACCATGGCATGCATGCCCATAAAAACACATCATGTACACACATGCATACATACACTCACAAATAATAAATAATTTTAAATATATTAATTGGTAAGAAATTGTACAAATAAAATGTACAATAATTAAAGATGAAAATAGGACTATAATTCTGGGGCTAAAGAGATGACTTAGCAGCCAAGATTATTTGCTGTTCTTGCGGTGGACCCAGGTTTATTTCCCAGCACCAACGTAAGGAGGCTCACAATGCCTGTAACTCCAGTTTCATGGGATCTGACACTGACTTCTAACCTAGTAGAGCATCCACTGCATGTAACATACTCAGGTACACACACATATATACATAAAATAGAAAATATTTAACTAACTTAAAAGGCTATAACTTTATATTTAAAACAAATAGTCAAGGGGCTGGAGAGATGGCTCAGAGATTAAGAGCCTGCTCTTCCAAAAGTCCTGAGTTCAATTCCCAGCAACCACATGGTAGCTCACAACCATCTGAAATGAGATCTGATGCCCTCTTCTGGCCTGTTGGCATACACACAGAATATTGTATACGTAATAAATAAATATTTAAAAAAATGGTCAAATATATAAACAGGTTGACAGCTAATATTCAGAGTGTTTAAAATACCTAGAAGAATACATATCCCTTGAATCAACAAGAATAATTTATTACTTTATTTGAAATTCCTAGACAGAGTTTCTCTGTACAATAGCTCTGACTTCCTGGAACTTGCTCTATAGACCTGGCTGGCCTCAAACTCATGACAATCAGCCTGCTTCTGTCTCCTGAGTACTAGGATGAAAGGCGTGTGCCACCACTGCCCAACTATTTTATTATTTTTATTTAGAGGGAGAAATAGAGGGGGGGTAAGGTGGGCACATGTGCACCCACAAACGGAAGTCAGAGAACAATTTTCAGTACTCAGTTCTGCCTCTGCTAGGCAGATCCCAGGGACTGAACTCATAACATAAGCTTGGCGGTAAGCACCCTTCCCCACTAAGCCACTTTGAGGACCCTAATTATACATTTTAACTGGACTTTAAAACATTATCATGAAGTCTAAATTTTTAAAAATTGTTATGTTTATGTAAGTGGTATACCTGATTTCAAATTATGAAATAAGATAATACTAAGAAAGTTCAATTTAGGAGCTAGAGAGATGACTCAGAAGTTATGAACACTGGCTGTTCTTCCAGGGGTCCTGAGTTCAATTCCCAGCAACAACATGATGGCTCACAACCATCTGTAATGAGATCTGGTGCCCTCTTCTGGCCTGCAGACATGCACACAGAACACTGTATACATGATAAATAAATCTTTTTTTTCTTAAAGTTCATTTATAGACAATTCTTTCAAGAAATATTTATTTGGGACATGTATCTTAGGATGAAGAATTAAAAGAATATAAACTGTATTCTAAAATTTCTTAAGAAGAGAAAAAAATTCTAGAAATCACATATACTACCATAAAATTATCTTTGATTCAAATAGATTTCAAATTGTTACTTTATTCCCAAAATACTGGTGAGATCAGCTTTAAACAATTATGAATTTAAGTTCTGTTACTTTCCACTAATCTGAAATAGGTTCACTATTCCTTGATGTTAAAATATTTTCATCCATGGGGGAAGGGGAGGGAAAGGGGAGGCGGTGGTGGGGAAGAGACAGAAATCTTTAATAAATAAATAAATAAATAAGAAAAAAAAATTTCATCCAGGAGCTAAGATGGCTGCTTTCCCGGAGGACCCTAGTTCAATCCCCAGCATTCATAAAACCCTGGGTACCTCCAGTTCCAGGGGATCTGATATCTTGCCCAGGGTTCCAGAGACACCAGGCATACATACGGTGCAAATACATGCCATACATATAAAAGAATAATTTTTAAAATTATTTTATCCAAAAAAAGTTGGTTTTAAGAATAAATTTTTACTCTTCTTAATAAAGACCAAATAAAGATGTTCATTACCGTATTGTTTACTAAGAGAAGCTTGCTCTGCAGGGCAGCTGCTGAGCAGGAGATCTACAAGGTCCAGATCAGCAGCTGGGATTTTCAGAGTTCCACGTTGTTCAAAGAAAACAACAACATACACAGCAGGCGACTTTGAAGCTTTCCTATCAGTTCTAATCCCCATTAATTCTTGGGCAATAGGAAAACCCAGTAATTGTCAAAATCCCAATATATATCCCAACAATTTCAGAAATCAATGCTGCATTAGCTCAAATAAGAAAAAAACAGAAGAAATTATACGCCAAAACAAACCCGTTTAGGGACTGGAGAGATGGCTCAGAGGACCCGAGTTCAATTCCCAGCAACCACATGGTGGCTCCCAACCGTCTGTAATGAGATCTAGTGCCCTCTTCTGGTGTGCGGGCATACATGTCGGCAAAACACTGTATACATAATAAATAAATCTTTTTTTTTTTAAAAAAAAAAAAACCTTTTTAAAAAGTAATGTATATTCAGACTTGTGAACAAGGGAGACTGACAAGAGTTTGAAGTGAAACTAAAACTAAAATATATTCTACCCTGAATGCAGTGGTAGAGTGGTCACTGACACGTGCAAAGGCCTGCGTTCAAACCAAAGTTCCCTTCATCCGTCCAGTCCACCCCACATTCACAAATGTTCTATGGTCAAAAACAGCCAAATCATCATTTATCACTTTTGAATACCAAGGATTATGCATATGTATGTTTATTTATGAGCCTCAACCCTAATCCCTAACTGATATCTAAAAAAGAAACCAACAGTAATAGTCTATTTATACAATAAATGTTAATGATTTATTTTCTATCTTGAGTATAATTATATGCCTATTTTCATATATTCATGTCAACATACACAAATTAAAATAAATATTAAGTGTTTTATTAAGGTTATAATACTATAGTAATAACTGTATAAAATAAATATAAAATTTATATATACATTTTATAATTATACTTTTAAGGTTTACATTTTTAAGGTATACATTTTATCTGAGATAAAAATGTAAAGATTATAACATTTTAAATACTGAAGACAGCAACCAGGTTTTCTTTACCCAAGATTGGAATCATGAAAAAGGAACAAAAAAGACTGAGACGAGGCACAGATGAGCACATGTGTAGTAAGTATATACACACTTGGCTTAAATACAGGAAACTCAGCACTGGGGAAGCAGAGGCATGGGGACAGACACAAGTTCAAGGTCGATGTAGTTCATGGGGGAGTGCCAGGCCAACCAATTCAACCTAGTGAGGCCCTGTCTCAAAAGATCAAAAATTAAAAAAATTAAAATAATAATAATAAAAAAGACAAGGAAGGTATCACATGTACAGAAGGCCTTCAGGTCAGAAAACTGCAAAAGGAGTTGTTTTTTCTAAATCCCTTGAGGAAATAAAAAAAAAATATTTCCAGCTCTTTTTTTCTGGAAAAGATGTCAGGAATATCTTCTAAAAGGTCATAAAGGCAGTAGGAGTGCATTTGTAGAGCATCGTGGTCATTGGGTAAGTCTTAGAATGACTGTATAACTTGACCAAAACACAGAGCTGGGCCTGTCTCCTTAGCAACACAGTAGAGATGGGCAGCCAATCACAACATACCTGGTGAACCTGAATTTCCACTTTAAGAGCCTCCTGTAGAGTCTGCAACTCCATCCTCTACCTTCTCCACTTTCTCTTATGTCTGCTAAGTCTACAGTGTCTTCAGCCTCCGTTTAAAATAACAAGCTCCTCTTGTTGCTGCAGCTGTGGAAATCATAAAATGTTTGGGATCATTGTATTGGGAATAAAGAAAATTTGTCAAAATAATTAAATTAAAAATATTATATTTTGTAACACAAGAAGAAAGTGTCCCCAAAGGACTGTTTAAAGTAATTCAGTGCCAAAATTTTCTGGGTTTTCTTCTTTTGAGCATTCCTCCATAGAACACTTTAAATAACTAAGAAAAGAAATACAACAGCAAAAGTGATGGTCAAGGAAACAGAATACCCACTGTGTGCTCGGCACTGAGGGCAGGGAGCTGAGAGCCACTCCCACCTAGTCGATAACTGGCAGGGAAGACTGTCACCATTCAGGGCCCTCAGACAAAACATGGTTAAGCATTTCAAAATTGGAGTAGACTGGAGAGTTCCCATTTCCCAAGGGTTAAGTTGAAGCATTGCGGGAAGGTATTTTAATTTGATTGCAGTCTTACACTACACTAAAAACAAGTCCTAAAACAAAGGGAAAGTCTTGAGTGTCTTAAATGTTTTAGCAACAACTTAGTATTTAAGACAAATACAATGCCCTGCAACACTTCAGTTACCACAAGGGCTGGAGGGATAAACCTTCATGGGTAGACCTTGAGATGGCCTAACACTGCCACGTTTCTGGCTTTGTAGGGACCGCTGTCTCCTTTTCAAACTCTGACCACGTATATGACTGTCTGGAGATGTTGTCTGGGTTTATGACTGTAAATGGGATGCCTGGTCTCACCTTCTATCCTATGCCATCACTACTGCAGCTTAACCAAGTATCTTATTTTTCTTTTATCTTTTATTTTCTTTCCTTCTCTTAAAAGTGGTCATGATTTGGGGTATTCTATCAAAGCTATGGTATTTTCTTGTCTGAATAAATTTAAACTTTATTAAAAATCTCTTTTCTTCCTTATACTGTAAAAGCTTTAGCTAGTATGCTTTCTGGCACTGAGGACAAGATGATGAGACTCAGGACCCCTAGGCTCTCTAGCACCCCCGACCCACTGACAGTCCTTACCAGCCTGACTGCATTCACAGAGCTTATTAACTATAAAATACATCCTGGGATTTCTAGTTTCCATTATATTTTCTTAATCTCTCTGGGTTTAAAAACATCATTGACAATCTCTCCTCTAGGGTTTATACACTATGTTATGTAAAATCAGAATATTCTACCTTAAAAATATTAAATTCTCAAAGCACAAAATTCTTAAAAGGAGAAATATCATGAATTTTAGTTACTTACTATCCTAAAAACTGTTGGGAATTATAATAAATACTACAATCAATAGGAACTCACATAGAGCAAGACTTCTGTGGTCATTTATACTTTCTTGACTTGCAATGGCTAATTTTGAAAACTATACCAGCTACTTCCATTTTAAGTGCTAAAATAATCTTCCTTCTCAAACTCTTAATTTATACATGGCAGTTCCGCTTTACAGAGTCTCAGTGTGCAGCCCATTCTGGTCTTGAACTCACAATCCTCCTACCTTGGCTTCGTGAGTGCAGGAATCATAAATGTAATCCACCACAGCCAGTTATATTACAGCTCTTTAAAAACACCTGGTCTAACTTTTTACAAAGTTCTATCCGAAATTGTGTACAAAAAGATTCCCTAAAATTCTTTCCACATTAAGAATAACCCTGCTACAAGAGCAAGTTCAAATCAGGCCAATTTTATTCCACTATTGGTAACACACCACAGCTCAGCTGAACTCAAACTCAGAAAACAATCATATCACAGACACCCAGAACTTACAATACCCACCACAAAAGGTTAACTGTTTATAGTTAGGGCTTTCTCACATTAACTAACAAAAATGTACAGAAAAGCAATTCTCACAAGAAATAAGACCAATAAAAAGTGTGAATTCAGTCAAAGTATGTGACACACGTGCGTGACAGTTACACCTTTATGGCACCCGTCCTAGCGTGAATATATGCTCAAAAGGATTTGCTGGCTGACCGATGACTATGAAAACACCAATCAGTGCTAATGACAGAAACATAAATTTCAGAAGGAAGGTTTTGCCTAGCGTGCTGAAGATGCAGAGCAATAAACTCTAAGCTGCCTAGGGTGGGTCTCATGGCGCTACACAGCCTGCTGCAAGCCATCTCTGTACTAAGGACTTCTTTGGGGGACTAGCAATAGTCTCAAACTTTTCCACTGACAATGCATAACTCCTTTCAACTAAGAAAAAAAAATGAAAATAAAGCATCAGAAACATTTATATATAACATGCAAAAATAAAAAAAAAAAAAAAAAAAACAAATACCTCAAAAAGGAAAAAAGTAGCTGGGTATGATGGCCTACTCCTGGATCCTAGCACTCAAGTGAACACAAGAGATCAAGGCCAACCTCTGCGCTGTACCAACCTAGGGTACATGATACCCTGACTCAGAGAAATAAAAAGAGGGTGAAGGGAAGGAGGGAGAGGAAGGAGGAACGAGTGAAAACAAGGTTGTAACCTGGAGACTAAATGTCAAAGCTCCCTGCGTAAAACAAGCCTGCCAGTCAAGCTAATGAGGAGCTGACAACTTTTACTTCCTCCATCAGGTTGTTATCTGCTTATTACCGATATACAGAGGCATTTAAATGCCAATTGCCCATTTTGTTTTAGAATAAGACTGAAGGGTTAAAAAAGATCGTGACTAGTCACAGAGAAACTTATGAAAGGCTAGAAGACGACTTTAAAATCTTTCATCAGAAAGGTCTCTTTCTGAAGAGTTGTTTTAAGAGACTGATTGGTATACACAATTAAAATACATAAAGTTATAATTTAAAAACTCAAGCCAAACATGTTGGATCCTTTTAAAAAACACTGGAATCTTAGCGCAAGCAGCATCATGTGAACAATATTTAGAGGCAGTCTTCAGCTTCACAAAAACCTATTACTTTTTTAAAAATTGTAAAATTCGCCGGGCAATGGTGGCACACGCCTTTAATCCCAGCACTCAGGAGGCAGAGGCAGGCAGATCTCTGTGAGTTCGAGACCAGCCTGGTCTACAAGAGCTAGTTCCAGGACAGGCTCCAAAGAGAAACCCTGTCTGGAAAAAAAAAAAAAAAAGAAAGAAAGAAATGGTAAATTCATTTACTGGTTGGGGACACACATGCCATGTAGTACATGCAGAGGTCAGAGGACAATTTGACAGAGCTGGTTCTTTCCTTCCACTTTTGCGGGTTCTGGAGATCAAACAGGTTCTCGGGCTTGATGTCAAGTGCCTTTGCCTGCTGAGCCCCCAAAAGCTGTTACTTCTAAGTGTATAACAGATAACTTATTGTATTTGCCCAGTTCTAAAAAGGTGTGACCACAGAAGACAGAGAGAGAGAGAGAGAGAGAGAGAGAGAGAGAGAGAGAGA